TGAAATTTTGGAAATTATTTTGTAAGAAAAATGGATGAATATTTTGATGAGGGTGGGGTTTCAGTTCGGTCGAATGTAGGCGTTGAATGTTTGTAGGAAAAATGGTTATTGTCAATGAAATTGGTCAACTTTGAACCTAAATTTCAATAGGACCCGTACTTTAGTTTTAATGGAACCTAGCATATTTACGTTCTACTTCGCGAAGTGATTAATGTGATATATTTATTTATCGAAAATCATTTAGAATTGAATAAAATATTTAATGTCAAAGTAACCCACTTGAAACTATGAATTATGGAATAATTTGATTTGCCAAACACTTATCCCACATAGAAAAGTTAGGAAATTTTGATGTGGTTTATATGGTGGAAGTTTGGGAATTGGGTTTTGACCCCAAGGGGTACCAATAGTTTTTAGAAGAAGGAGGGACCTATATCCTATCGGGTTCGGTTATGATCACGTGCTCGTGTCCATGTCCGAGTCCAGTCTGGTTGTAAGTGAGTCCTTGCACTATATTAACTTTTTTTTGGACAAAATTTATTTGAATTTTGGAGCAAATTGTAAGAAATCAAATTCTTGGGTAATTAATGAAATTTAATTTTTGACTTATTTTCAGGTAATTGTTTGGTATGGATAGTCTGTTAACTGACTAAACAATCGTCTGTTAACCGACTAAACAATCGACCATTAATCGACTTAACGAGCGTAGTATTGAACCAAGATGTCTGTTTGAGTTTTAGAGACTGTCTGAGTGGTGACGACTGTTCTAATAGATATTCAAATGGCCACAGATAAGTTTATAAATGGTCAGCCACGCTGTCAAAAAAACACACCATTTTCATTGTAAACATTCTCTGTTTTGAATCTCTCTCTCTCTCTCTCTCTGATATTATTTTCGAAGTGGAAACACTTCGTTACATTCGTTGGAATTCTTGTAGATTGCTGTGCTGCTTCCATATGAGATGAAATTCATTCTATCTCGAGAAACGATTGTTGGAAGCCGTTAGCATGTTTGACGGCGGCAAATTTGTTTTAAGAAAATATCGTGAAGTCGGTAGACTGAAATTATTATTTTCTGATCTTGTTGATCGTATTGTTACTCTAGAAAAATTACGTTAACATAATTCATTCTAATTGTTCAGAGGGAGAATCTTACAAGAAACAACAATGTCAAGCGATGGGTCCGCTTTGAGCATTCTTCTTGGAGCGCGTAATGGCACTTATAGATTTTTCATATGGGAGGAAAATTCATGGTTGTGCCGTAAGAAATGTGTTCGGTGATGAACCTTTTGTAATTGCTGCACTGATTGATGATATGTATTCAAACTTTAATAGGCCAATGGAAGCTTGGAATGCTTTTGAAAAGCAGGAAAATAAGTATAACATCGCAGTGTGGAATGGCTTCTATAAAAATGGATAATGGTTAACTTGTAGATGTTTTGACGCCCTTAGCAATGGCTCCCCCTCCCATTCAAGGGCGAATTTGGGGGTCGAGTTCAGTTAGGGCATATCGCGAGCGTTTAAAGGTTACTATCGACAATCAACATCTGTGAGAGCTGGATTTTTATTAATATTTAATTAAATAATATTCAAAAAATCGTATGAATTAGGACTAGAAGAGTTAGAACTAGGTACGACATTCATTTTGGATGAAAAATTGTTCTATAATCTACAAAATGTCATAATTTATTTTTCGATTAAATAGGCAATACATATTAACAAAATGTCAATATTCAGTTTACAATTAAAATTAATCAAACAAGCATTATTATATTAACAAAATTGAAATTATTTATGTGCTTGTATAATTCCACTTTTTAGCCATCGATTTTTTGTGAATGAATAGTGGAACTTTTTTTTTTTTAATTAAATAAGTTTTGTTGAAAAATTCCTTATGACACTCAGGCCAATTTGCCAACAAATTCATCCATCATTAATTGACTAAGTTTTCAAATCAATTAATTAGAGAAAAAAAAATCAAGAAAAGGGACAAAGCACCGATTAAAATGTTTCTACTTGTATTAAACCAGTAAAATTGAACACATATTATTTTGTTACATTGTGTGCTAAAAATCAATAAGTATCATGATGATAAAGTGGTCAATATGTTTAAGGAATATAGTAGGTCATTTGTTTTGGTAAAAATTGTTGAAATACAAAAATTATAAAAAATATTGTTCTTAAAGAGTTTCGAACACATAACCTTTAATTCAATAGTGAAAGGGCTAACTCGCTAAACTAGTAGAGGTGTTTGTTGTTAATATGAATTATCAAATATATAATCTAAAAGTTCTATCTATTATCAACAAGAAAAAGTCTTCTCGACAAATCTAGCTAGAGTGACCGTCCTAACTCGCCACCACCTAGATCCGCCACTCCCCCCATCCACAATAGAACTGAAGTGAGAAACCTATCTTAAACTAGACGAGTTATCCATAAATTGAGCAAATGGAGAATCAACAACGATGGGCTACGACGAGTTGACAATTCTTTCATTGAATTTGGCTAATGGAGAGGCCATAGTTCGCGTTCTGGCTTCGGAAAAGAAGATCATGGGCCAAGATCACAATTTCATGGTTGGGCTATATAGCTTCACAAGGATGGATTCAGGATTGGATAAAAGACCGGGTTAAAAAAATTTTAACTGGGTTAATACACGAAAAAAATAATTAAAAAAAACTGATTTTACCCAAAAAAAAAAAAAAACACACACACACACACGCTGCTTAGGCCTGAGTGCCCCCCTCTCCAACAAAAAAAAAAAAAAAAACACACACACACACACGCTGCTTAGGCCTGAGTGCCCCCCTCTCCAACAAAAAAAAAATAAAAAAAACCCATCCCTGTAGCTTCATCAGTCCAACATTTGGCACGACCGTAATATTTTGACTGAATTTGGCAAGGGAAAGAGTAAAGCAATCTGAGAGATCCTTGTAGAGAACGGACGGAAAATGAAAACTCGTACGACAAATCTCAAATAATGCCGACTGTAAATTGTTAAAGGTAATAATATTTTGGCTTCTTTTCGATTGGACAGTGATGGTACATTATTAGGTTGCATGATGGTGTAAACTATGTCGATAGATATCATTTGAAAATATATACTAATTTATAAAAGTTTGGGTTACTCCTCCTAATAAGTTTGAAATTTTAAGATGAAAACTCGAATCTTAATATGGTATCAGAACCCATTGCGAGGACATATTAAGGGATATAATTCTATATCGAATAAAGATGAAAATATATACTTCTTTATAAGAGTTTTGGTTACTTCTTTTAATAAAGTTGACATTTTATGATGAAACTCCAAAATCTCCGTAAAATTTTTGTGATGATGAATTTCAAGTTGTTGAAAAGCAAAATCTAACTTTACCATTAAAGAATGGATTAGCACTTTGTGATGTAACAGTGTGGGAGCAGATGTTTAATGATCTCTCTTATTGCTTCTTGTTTAGTGCTATGTATCAAGTCATTTTGTTACTTCGAAGTCATGGGAATTAAAGATAGAATGCTTCTTCATCTCTGTATTCTCTTTGAAAGAAGAATAAAGGACAATTTTTCATTTATGGCCTGCTTGGAGTTTTTTCCACTTTTATATAAAAATGCTTAAAAATTAAAAAAAATATTACCAATAAGACGAAAATCACTTACAAAATATAAAAAGTTATAACTAATATATTCACGTGTTCAAAAAATACTTATAAGTACAACATGAACTTATAACTAAAAAACTTACTTATAAGATCAAAATATTTAATTATAACTAATTATTTCATTTTTAAGTTAAAAATAAATTTATATATAAGTAAAATCTCACTTATTAGTAAAAAAAATTCAAACAAAGAAATTATAAATTGAAAATTTCACTAAATGACGTACATATTGTTTACACGTATATCTTTTTTTATATATGAACATATGTATTTCTAAATCTTCACTTGAACTTGAGATTCTATTGTTCCTTCAAAGTCTAAATTCGAAGCTGTAAGAGTTATATGCTCCCATCTTGAGTTCTTCATGATGGTCGAGAAGGGAACAAAATTGTTTGTTTCTCTGTTTTAAATTTTTAATACCCAAAATGCCAATGAACATTGAAAAAATTTCAGCAATTTTGCATTAGAAATCATCAAGCTTGTACATATAAAACACAAAGAAAAAAAATTTTGATATGACAAAAGAATTCAAGCAATAAAGCATGAACAAATAAAATATTAAATATTCCCCTAATATCAACAAGGAACTTCGTAAATGTAAAAGTATTTGTCAGGAGAATCATGTACTGAGTTTGAAAAACCAAAAATTTTACAAGAGTACAATACGTGTAAGTATTATACTCCAGGTCCAATTGATTTTGAACGTTAACACTTTTAATATGTTTAATTTATGACAGATATATTATTTAATCGATTAATTTATTATTCTAATAAATTAAATTAATAGAATCCGAATATTCAAGTCTTGTTATTTAGGAATTTTATCCTAAATTAAAATGTTAATTCAATTTTAACAAAGCTTATAGGAAGTTGGATCTGCGAATCCATTATTTTTACGGGCCTGTATATCTAATTCATTTAGGCCAACGTGCCAACTAATATAGCATACAGATTGCAACTCAAGATACAAGATGAGGAGGAAAACATAGTGATGGTGCATTGCAAGAGCATAGCATTGATTTTTTTAAGTTTATATTGACAAAATTTTATGTTCTTCCACTATTTGAGTACGTCAAAATTTGACATTTTCCTAAATTATTTAATTGGACGGTTAATGTGAAGGAACTAATTTTTAGTAATGGGTTGCTAGAATTCGAGACCTTATTAAGTGCATCCTAAAACATGTCTAGGACATCACATATGGTGTGCAAATGTTTCTTATAAATTTTCCTAAATTCACACCTTTCATTAATCAGAAGTAGAACCGAAGTCATTAGTTGCGATTAGAGCTCTCCGGCCAATCCAACCTATCCACAGCTCGTAGTAGCCTGATATGAACTCTTGTCATCTAAACTTCACTCTGACATTCTAGCGACCGAACTTCGATTACCTACAAAATTTGTGTGATCTGGTAACATACGGTAGATGTCACAGCTAAGGTTACTAATTTGTGCTTTAGCATTTCTATTGAATCTATTCTCAGTTAGTGCAGAAATAAAAATATAGAGTAATGAGCGCAAGTAAGGATTAAGGAAAACTTGTGTATGTGCAGATGAAGCTGTAAGTTCTAGGAGAAATACACGATGAAAGAGACGTCATTCTCTCTTGTCCTCCTCGAGATCTTCACTGAGGCCAAAAACATGATCTGCTGCAATTGACACCTTCCTATCCTTTCTTTCCACTTTGGATGCCAAATCTCCTGCTAGTATTACTCCAGTTCCAGTCAGGGATATACCCTCTTCCTCATCATCACCAGTCTCATATGCATACCTGCATTTGAAAAAAAAAAATAAATAAATAAAAATTCTCATTCGTCATGCAAGCCTCAGAAGTTCAAGTATTTTTTAAATTCCACAAGATTCTTGAAAAGGGTTAAATACAAGATTTCACGAGATTGTCCAAGACTACAAGGCCATAAATTTTATGTCAAGATTTGGTGTGTACCCGTACATTTGGCTTGCTAGAGCCTTTTTTTTTGTAAACAATCTAGTTTCGCTGTTCATTTTTTGTTAAAAAAAATAAGGCAGTACCATGTCCTTTTCTGTAGATTACCAGTTTAATACCCATTCATACATTTGCATTCATTCCGCAACATTCTGCGGTATCAAGCTCAGAATTCTCCAGTCCAGTCCCTTAAAAGTGTGAGGAAGGAGTGAACAAAGTACAAAAATAGCTTATTGTACTCGGGAAAACTGCCTCTCTTAGGATGTGTCGAGTTAAAAGTCTCTATTCCAAACTGCCCTCCATGTACCAAGTACTTATGGGGAAGAGTTGCATTACAGACAATTACTTACCAACGACTGCAAGAGATGGTGTTTTCATGGAAATACTCAATTTCTTCCATGCGACTCGCACATACCATATAAAACCTTCATATGGCATTGTCTGAATTAAAACTTGACACATTAATCACGATGCATTGGATTTCATGCTTCTACCATGTTGATATCACATTCAAATGTAATATTTGACTATTTAAAATGAAGAATCATCTTTAACAACCATTCGTCGGGTTTGGAGCTAACAAAAATCGGAATAAGCCCAATAAATTATGGCTGAAAGCAAAACCATAACAAAACATTCTTGGAAAAATGCATGTACATTGCAATTAAAGAACTATGTCAACTGAAAAAAATAAAAAATAAATCTTTTGGCCGTTGTAATAATCTAATAGAACAAAACATTCTTGGAAAAATGCTTGTACGTTGCAATTAAAGAACTATGTTAATTGAAAAAAAGCAAAACCATAACAAAACATTCTTGGAACAATGCATGTACATTGCAATTAAAGATCTATGTTAATTGAAAAAAATAAAAATTTCAATCTTTTGGTCGTTATAATAATCTAACAGAACATCATTTTATAAGATATAAGTCTTCATATCAAAACAATAATCTTACATCCTAAAAAATATAGGAGGAAATATCCATCATATGTATTCATTTCTACGTAGGTCGGGGCACTCTGCAACTACTATATATTTTATTTTAAAAGATAACATTATTCATAAATTATCAAGTTAATTAACTAAATAACCCCGTGAATTGTTTTGTATTAATAATACCCCATTTAACATTACAATGGACGAGAAGGATAATAACATCCTAACAAGGCTAGCTCACGTGGCAAAGAAGACCACAGCACCCTGGCCCAAGGACAATGGCTCAGTCTCACCATTTGGATTGGACTAATTATACACTAGTTGAAGTAGGACAATCCTAACAGATATAGGATAGAAGACGCTTATTTTTTTTAATAAGTAATCAAATATTTTATTAATCATGGATAATACACATGAAGTGTATTATCAATTAATATAAGACAGAAACGACATGAAATTGGGCAACCCGTCTATGCAAGTAATAGCCACAACATTAAACCAAATATACAATGTCAGATAAAATAATTCTTTAATCTGCTCTGTTGTCTGTGTATTATTGTCGAAACAGCGACTATTTCTCTCCCTCCAAATACACCAGATGATGCATCCTGAGACAAAGTCCCAAACAATCTTGCTATCTTTATTACGAAATCTTCTCCCCTATGCCTTCAAAACATTCTCCATACGCTGTGGAAACACTCAATCCATGTGTTGAGAAACCAAAATATCGTTCCATAAGGTGCGAGTAACGTCGCAATAAATGAACAAGTGGTTAATCGTCTCCCCATTCCTCCGACACATATAGCACCATTCCGTAACATAGAAATCCCAGTATCGGAGATTATCCACCGTTAAGACCTGTCCCTTCACAACCGTCCATAGGAAAAATGTCACCCGATAGTGCAGTTTACAACGCTATACCTTCTTCCATGAGAATAAACTCTCCTCAGGTTCCAATAAAGATCTAAAATAAGAGCTTACTAAGAAAACGCCATCACGTGCCAACCTCCACCAGCTACGATCACCTTCGCCCACCCTGACGTGCACCTCATACAAAGAAGTCAGGAGTAGTGCATAATCATCCAATTACCAATCCTGTAGACCCTTCCCAAAAACAATGTTCTAGCCGGGATTCCCATTATGCACATGTAAGACTTCATGCACTATAGCCTGCGGCATCAAAGTAATACGATACAGGGAAGGATACTCCGCTCTTAATGGCCGATCTGTACACCAACAATCATCCCAGAATCTGATAGTATTGCCATTCCCCACCTCATATGTCAATCTATCCTGAAATTCTCTCCACCCTCGTCGTATATATCTCCACAAACTCACCCTATAAGAACCACGATCCTCGGCTGAGCACCATCCTCCCTCTAGAACACCATATTTCGCCTCTATAATCTCTCTCCAAAAGCTTTCCCTCTCCACACCGAATCGCCACAACCACTTATCTAACAAGGCCTTATTAAACAATACAAGACTCCTCAATCCGAGGCCCCCTGTTTTTATGGGAGAACACACTACGCCCCAGTTAACCAAGTGAAGTTTCCTCTCCTCCCCTAAACCTCCTCATAGAAACTCCCTTCTCTAATCTTTTTACCACGGTAACGGGGATAGGAAACAATGACAAGAAGTAAGTGGGTAGATTCGCTAGAGTGGACTTGTTGAGTGTAAGAAGGCTTCCCTTTGAGAGGTACATACGCTTCCAACCCGCTAACCTCCTCTCCACCCTTTCCACAATACTATTCCAAATGTGTATGTTTTTAAACCATGCTCCGAAGGAAAGCCCAGGATAGGACATAGGCAGTTGCGCAGTTTTACAACCCAATATGGCCGCTAACTCCTCCACATTAGTGACATCCCAGCTGTGATGGCCTTAGATTTCCCCAAATTAATCTTCAATCCAGATACAACTTCAAAGCATAGTAACAGACAGCGCAAGTTCCTAAATTGCTCAGTCTCTGCATCACAAAAGATCAATGTATCGTCTATAAATAGCAAATGGGATACATGTAGCTGGTTAATCATAAAGCCCTTCAATAGACTTTCTCCCACAGCTTTCTCAATCATCCTACTTAAAGCCTCCATAACAATGACAAACAATAATTGAGACAACGGATCCCCTTGTCTCAAACCTCTACTACTCCGGAAATAACTCTCAGGAGTGCCATTTACCAAAACCGAATACAAGGCCGTAGATATACAAAAGTGAATTTAACGGCACCACTTGTCCCCAAAACCACATCGCCTGAGCATATACAAAAGGAATCCCCAATTTACATTATCATAGGCTTTCTGAATATCAAGTTTACACAACATCCCTGGAATCCCTATACGCAGTCTCGAGTCAATGCATTCATTTGCTATAAGTACAGAATCCAACATCTGACGCCCTTTGATGAAGGCATTCTGACATTTAGACACCACATTTTCCAACACCTCCTTTAATCTGTTAGCTAGCAGCTTTGCAATAATCTTGTATACCCCGCTAACTAAGCTGATCGGACGAAAATCTTTAATATCTGACGCTCCAGATTTTTTTGGAATCAGCACAATAAATGTAACATTAGAACTTTTCAAGAACCTGCCACACTGAAAGAAATAAGTAAAAACATCCACAATGTCCGATTGTACCACTTCCCAACAAGCCTTATAAAATGAGAATGAGAATCCGTCCGGCCCTGGTGCTTTATCATCATTCATGCTGAACACCACCTCCCTAATCTCATCCTCCTCAAATGGTCTCTCTAACCAGCTTGCATCCTCGTCAATAATAGTAGAGAAATCTAACCCCTCCAACTCTGGCCTCCAATCAAACTACTCAAGATACAAGTTTTGATAAAAATTCACCATTTGAGTCCCAATATCTTGTGGATCTTCATAAGTAACTCCGTCTACCACCAGCATGGTGACAGAATTGTTACGCTTGTTAGAATTGGCAACTCTATAGAAAAACTGGGTACATTTATCACCCTCCTTCAACCACTTGACCCTAAATTTCTAACGCCAGGCTATTTTATCCATCTCCACCAACCTCTCCAACACTCCCCTTAATTCTCCACGTCTCTCCCTTTCATCCCCTACCAATCCTTGACTCTCCTCCCTCTTAGCCAACTCTTCTATATCTAACATACATTGGTTTTTACGCCAGTTTACATCTCCCACTACCTCCTCATTCCACCTCTTTAAGGCTTTCAATTTTTGATCGAACACATAACTTGAAGACCCCCTGAAATTGTAAGATGCCCACCTGTCCCGTACACGCTCCCTAAAGTCTTCTGCTTTTAGCCACATCTTCTCAAACCTAAAAGGTCTTCTTACACTACACCTCGCATTCCCAGCCAGTAAGATAGGGAAGTGATCAAAATACACCCTCCCTAATCTTCTCTAAGTAACCTCTGGGTACTTCTCCTCCCATTCCCCACTAATCAGAAACCGATCTATTCGCTATAAAATAGGCTGCTCCCAATTAGAAGACCAAGTCCCAAAAAAGTGGGGCTGCGCTCCAGTTGTACACTCTCTTTGTTCTACGAACCCTTGTTGATTCTGAACTTAGAAGGAACCGGACTTTTGACGGGCCAGCCCTTTTTTATGCGCCGCTTTCCCCTGAAAGGAAAATGAGTGCTCCTCTGGGCGCTAGGCGCTCCCGTGGTTCGCGAGAAGGAAAAAAGACTCATCCTTTGTTGCATCTGGCACGAGATGATAAAGAGAGAGCTTCGTTTATCGATGAACAGCGGATTGACGGAGCTCTTGGCATTGCTTTGTTTTTCTCTCCTTTCCTATCAGCGAGTTCTGACCCTTCCAATCAAAGGCAAGTCCACCAACATATTTTCCTTGATAAAATCTGAGAACTCCTCCATTGCCTTTGTTAATCTCCCATCA